GGTTAGAGGTTGTGGTAGGCGGACGTCAAGATGGCCCTCAGAAGTCCCTGCCTGTTAGTATTCACCACCCCTCACTTGAAATGTGAGCTAGACCTACTGACTAGATTCTAAAAATTAGAAAACAACAAAAGTGATAAACTATCATTACGAAGACTAGGTTGCAAGAAGATTGTGATTACACCTCAGTTGGCTCTCTCACTCTCACTTGCTCCCTCTGAGAGAAGCCAGCTGCCATGTTTGAGCTGCCCATTGGAAAGACCCCAATAGTGGGGAATTGAGGTCCCTGGTAATCAGGCAGCAAGAAGCCGAGTTCTGTCAACCTGAACTCCAGTGAGGTTGGAAGTGGATGCTCCCAGAGCTAAGCCTAAAGAAGACTGCAGTCAGCATTGCCAGTAGCATTAAGCTCAGCTCTCAGTTTCTAAACCCAGTAATCCAAGCAAAAAAAATGGTTCTGCACCAGCAAAAATCACCAAAGATAACTTTATCAAAGAGAAAGAAGAAAATAAGTTTCTCCATTGCTTTTCTTTTCTGAATAAGGTTCATTCATATTCCTGGAAGCATAAAGAAGTGGGTAAGAGTTCTATCTGCATCTGAAGAAGACCTGGGCCCCAGTCCTGTCTCCACCTCACTCCTCTCCCTCACTCTGCACTCAACAACTGCAAAGTATTGGAAAGCTTCTGAACCGTCTCTGTTCCTGTTGTCCTACCTCAAAAAAAGGATAAGATTTAGCCTAACTGAGCAAGCATGGAAACTGAACAAGTTCATCCAGCAAGAACATTTCCTGTTCTGAACTCTAGGACTCTCTGTGATGTTATTCAGACTGTTTTGACAGCTGTATTACTGTGGTTCTCAAACTTTTTGTTTCAGAACCCCTTTTCTACAAATCTGAAGAACCTAAAGAGCTTTCGTTTATTGTGAGATAGATATAGATGTCCGTCTTCACTGTATTAGAAAATAAAATGGAGAAATTTTTAAAATATTTCTTTAGTTCATTTAAAAATAATTAAGTCTATTACACCTTAACATAAAATATTATTTTATAGAAAGTAGGCATATTTTCAAAAATATGAGAAGAGGAGCATTGCTTTTTTTTTTTTTTTTTGCAAATTTCTTCAATACCTAGCTTAATAGAAGACATCTAGTTTCTAATATCTGCTTCCACATTCATTCCATTCCAATATAACATGCCATGTAGCTTCTGAAAACGCCTCTGTATTCTGGTGGAAAAATTATGCTCAATTATTATAAAATTTGTTTTGACCTCATAGATAGTCTGAAAGGGTTTCTGAAACTCAAAGGAGTCCCTGGACCATATAGAAAACTGCTCTATTAATTCTTATTGGAAATGTTAACATGTCTTCTCAAACTTTCTGCCTTCCGACTATTTTAAAAATAAAATACAAACACAGATCACACACACACACACGCCCAATAGCAATTTCCATGCTCTGTTTTCCTAAACCCTCTCTGGGAAACTGCAAATCAAAATACTAACCCTGAGCGGATCCTCTGTAGGAACCTCACTCCTCAGTGTAGGGTGTCAGCTCATCCCTCCCAAATGGCAACTTCCTGCTTATCTACTCTCAACCCAAGGAAAGAAACAAATGGCTTCTTGAGGGAGAACACTCAGCTTTTTCAGCCAGATGAAGAGCTGAAGAATTCCAAATGTTGTTTGTCTTTGAAGCTTAGGCTTCAGAAACAAATGCTCTGAGGAAATCAGCAATGACCAGGACTGCTTCAAAAGCCACAACTGGCACATACAGCCCCATCCAACAGAAAAACAGGGACCCACTAAAGCCCCTACGGGTAGCCAATTAGGAAGCAGCCCAAACAGAGAGCAAGGGACAACACAGACCAATTTTTTTTCTTTTGGTACCAAGAATCGAACTCTGGACCTTGCGCTTGCAAGGCAGGCGGTGGAACCACTGAGCTAAATCCGGGGCCCAACACAGACCATTTTATCAAAAACGTCAGAAAACAAATCCCTAGGTCTGGTCATAGTAAGTGAGCAAGATGGGTCGGAAGACTCCCAGTTAAAGGGTGTCAGCTCTGGATCTGTCACCAGGTTGGTGTCACCAAAAGCAAGTGACTTGTTCTGAAAATGACAGAACATATAAGATGAGCTCTAAAGTTCTTTTCAACTTTATCATGCTATCTTTCTCATCGGTAACACACATGGATCACAGGATGAATTTCTAAACGAAAGATAAGGTACATCTCTTGTCCCATTTATACCTGAGATATATAATTGCTTTATTTATTCAACAATTATCAAGACCACAGTTTGTTGCAGACATTGTTCTAAAGCAGTGAACAAAATAGTGAAGTGTTTCTTGTCCTCATAGATTTATATTCTAGTGAAAGAGATAGACAAATAAAATATATGTCAGCTGGGTGTGGTGGCACACACCTATAATCCTAGCACTGTGAAAGGCTCAGACAGAGGATAGCAAGTTTTAGCCCAGCCTGAGCAACTCAGCCATTTAGTAAGATCTTGTCTCAAACTATAATGTAGGCCGGGGGATGTATCTCAGTGAAAACACCCTGGGCTCAAACCCCAGTGCCATTCCTCCCCAAATACATAATATGTCAGTGGTGATAAGTGTTAGGAGAATATGGACGGATGTGTTGAAGGTTATTTGCACTTTTAAATAGACTTGTCAATGTAGGCAACTCCATAAACATGGGAATTACATAACTTTGCTTGAATTTGAACATCATACAGTCAATCAGCATCCATTCTTTCAGTCAGTCAGCAAACATTTACATGGAATGTTGAAGATTTTACTTTAGGAGTTTGGGGAGATGGCCCCATTGGCTGGAGATCAGCTTTTATTGAAGAGACATACAAGTTAATGGTTAGCCAGGAGGGCTCAAAACCAGACAGCCTGAATGTGCATCCTGCCTTTCAGCTAGATCCTGGGCAACTGACTAAATCTGTCACTCCCCTCCCTCCCCATCTTCAAAGTAGGAATAACAAAATTCCTTACTTGAAGGTGTATTGTACGATATGAGCTTTACTCACATTGGACACTGGGCATAAAACCACTCACAAATGATGGCCATCACAATAGAAATCAGAAGGGAAGACCAGGCAGGAGCTACTTGTGGGCACAGTGGGAGACTCTCTTTGGCAGATCCCAGAATTAAATGGAGTCCAGTGAGTTTGGAGGCTTATTTGGGTCTCATTCGGCTGGTAGGGACTTGGGAAAATTAGACCACAATACACTTTTTCAGTAGATTCTGCTGGACTCTTGAAGCTGAAAATAAAACAGCTCCTATTGAGACCAGAATTGCCCATTAGAACTGGCCACAAAGGGAGTCATTCCAAACAGAAGGGGCTGATTTTATAAGAGAAAGAAGTGGTTTTGCATGAAATAAGGACCAATATCCCTCTGTCTACCTGGAGCCCAGTCTTTGCCTCTACCTTGGCAAGTACAGTCAACACCAACAGGGACAAGAGCACCCCCACTCCGGCCCCCAGAATGCAGCCACCAAATTATTTTAGCCTGTCATCCTCGTTTGCATAAGAATCCTGCTCCATCTGTTAGAAGGAGCAATATCCGTTCATGCTAATCTGATTGCTCCTATCGCTTGTATTAAAAAACATGGAGGTTACCACAAGCTTCGCTCTGACCTTTGATTTTCTAATATCGCATCTGGGGTAAGCACTTCCCTTTAATCTCTATGGACAATAGGCAAAATTTCACCAAAGGGACTGTGACAGAGGCAGAGATCATAGAGCATGTGCCCATGACCCCAGGTTAGATGATTATAATAACGCTTTTTAGGCTTTTCTAATAAAGAATATGCTGAACAGGCTCCAGTGTATGTGTGCAAAAGTCTAATTGCTGTTAACATGTCACTCCCATCACAGAAATGCAACAATGTACTGACGGCTTGTCAAATCCGGAATTGATTTTGAAATTGCTTTAATGAGGTGGTGAATAAGTTTGCAGGGGCCTGGCCATCTGAGAGGCCATCAGCCAAGATCACCTGCAGTTGCTTTGTTGACTGTTCATAAATGAGCATGAGGTACACAGAGGGTTGTTGTTTGATTGCTGAGGATTTGCAGGCTTTGAACTGGGATCTCAGCCCTTGTCTCCATCTCTGAGTCCCTTGCTTTTTAGATTTGTTTTGAGGTCTACATGAGTGCACACATGCCTCTCTATCTCTCAGTCCCTCTCTGTCTCTTTCTGTCTCTATCTCTGTCTCTCTATTTGTCTCTCTGTCTCTGTCTCCCTGTCTCTGTTTCTCTCTGTGTGTGTTTCTGTTTGAGTCTCTCTCTTTCTCTCTCTGTTTCCTCTCACCTTCATTCCTCTGGATAAATACCTCCAATTGAAAGCGTTGGGCTGGGTTTTCACAAAAGCTCAAGGAAAGTTACAAGTTCCTTCTTGTTCCTCATCCAGTATGTGTGAGAAGTGCTCTAAGAGCAATGTGCCTCTCCATTTTGAGCTTTGTCCTGTCCACAATGAAGTAGCTGAATGATTGTTATTCAGACTCCAAAATTACTGCCCCCATTTGACGGCGCTGAAGGAAAAGTTGAAAAAAACAGTTTCCGATTGTCAAAGGATAGAGACCTTCACATCCCTTCTCAATACACACTCAACTGAAACCTAACATGGTGGATATGGTCATAATCGGTTCAACACAGCAACTGTCACCAGGTATTTCCACCTGGTAAGGGAACAGGGAATGCACCCTTCCAGTTGCATCCAAATCTAAAGCAGCATTGACTAATTCCCCCTTCTGATGTGGTTTTGGACACATAATGAGAAAATGGTATTTTCCTAGCCAAGAGAACTGAATAAGTTTCTCTGCTTCCTTGTCTTTCACTTATAAACAACACCAGCACTTCGACAATGAAGACAAATGTATACCCAGCTTTAAGTAAAAACAAAGAAACTGCCAGTAACACTTCACAATTGTCAATTTTATTACCTGCCTCCCCCACCTGGAACATTATTTCATTCAGAGCCAAGGTAGAGAGCCAAATCATTTTATTTTCGAAGATGTGAGTATATTTTAGAAAAGCATCTGTGTGCATTATGTTCCATGAAGCATCATCTCATTTATATTGTCCGTGTGTTGATGAGGGCATGACCAGCATCCTTAGTAGCTACAGATGCCTTTAAGAAATTGGATGTTACAGGGTCCATACATCAATGTTATGATGATGTATTTTTCATGAAATCTGTAAATAAGGTCAACAGGATAGGGATATTTTAGATGACATAATCTCTAATAGTTCTTGAGGAATGGCCTGCTTCTCTATAAAAAGTCAATTTATTTATCATTTTTAATACTCTTGCTTATTAAGCAGTCTGATGTGGCTACTTTGGTGAAAATAAAGCACCCCTCACAGCATGTTGAGATAAAGAGGCAGTTATTTTCCACAAACTAATGAGAAGAAATGAAAGCTGTTAGTGTGAAAGGGGTAGATAATTAGCACTTTTGGGTTTTCTGATATTTTATCTTTTCTTATCACCTAAAATTTTACCTCAGAACCAAGGTAATGGTCTTCAAAGAATAGAATGACAAAAAGGAAAGAAGAAAATGGTCAGGGTTGTGGATGCTAGGATTTAAAGTTCAATAATGTCATTTTTATAGCCTCAGTGAAATTGGAAAGTAATCTCAGCTTCTCCCTAGACCTCCATTTATTCTGAGTATCAAATGCATGTCAAGGTCCATTATTGTAAGAAGCGTCTGATTGGCTTTTATGTGCTGCTGCCAGCTCCCCACTCGTCCAGGGCTGTTCAGGCTGAATCAAGGCACCCAGCACTGGACACAGGTCCTCTCACATCACTGAAAACCAAAAGGCCAAATTGGGTCACCAGGAAGAAGAGACTCAGAGAGAAAGGTGTAAGAAGTGAACCACATCTCAGAATAAAGCTGAAAACTTCGAGCAGAAATGGAAGACTGGAAGATTGTCACCATATCTGCTGCTGCAGCTTGGGTGACTTATTTCATTTTTCTGAGCCCTCATCTCTAGAGCTGCAAGACAGTAATAATGGTAGCTCTGTACAGCTGAGCATGAAGAATGAAATATTAGGGCTGCAGAGAGTTTAACAAAGAGCCAGTTCTGTGAAAGAATTAAATGTTGAACTCAAACTATAAGTACAGATCCTAATCTTCTCACCATATATACATTTTTTTAGGAGTGTCTTCACCATGTGTGATCAAAAATATAGTGAATGCTGCTGCTGACTGCAATGCAAATGCAGTCTTGTAAAACATTACAGTGGGTCCTCCTTCCCATTATTCACTGGATCTGGCACCATGCAACTTCTGGCTTTTTCTCAAAGTCAAAATGACCATGAAAGGTAAATGTTTTGAATCGATTCAGGACAGTGAGGCAGCCACAGCAGCACAAATGAAAACACTCAGGTGAGAGGACTTCCAGAACTGCTTCAGAAAGTGACATAAAAGATGATAAGTATATTTGAAGCAAGGGGGAGTACTTTGAGGGAGATTGGTAGCAATGTGTCTTTTACTGTAATATATTCTTAAAATTTAAACATTCATCAGATTTTTCTATCGCATCTCATATATTAGAGAGAAATATGAGTTTTAGAGATGATAATAGCAATTTTTAATCAACTGAAAAGGTAGGAAAATGCCCTTCTTTACTAAATATCTTATTTTCTTACTATTTTTATTCTTATTAGAAGGGTAGACAGTCTCTTCCAGATCAATGAGCATCCCCTCAGGCCTAAACACAAGAGCAAAAAGGAATCCTGAGTGACAGAGCCTGGAATTTCACTTGCTCCCACCACCTGCTCTTGGGGGTCAACTGTACTGTAGTGTGTAATTACCAACCTCGTCGCTGCCTCTTCGTTTCCTCTCTCCCCCTGTCTAATTGATGGCCTTGACACCAGTGAGGGGTCAGCCCCCTGGAAACACCTTGGGCACAATCCGTACCACCCAACAGATGCTGCTCACTCACAAAGCTAGCAGTGGCCAGATCCCAGGAACTCAGTGATGGCTTGTGTTTGCTCAGAGTTGAGGAAAGGGTGATAGGGCAAAGAACAAGATTACAAATCTACTCTAGGAAAAAGGAAAATTATCCACAGTTTGAGGATGGCCTTTGCTGCAGCATTTGCTCCATTCATTAATGTATCTGTTGGCACTCCTCCAGGTGAAGGACACTTGAGTTCTGTTCTTACCTTTCTTTTAGGTCTTGTTTTCCTCTGAAATCACACACAGACAGTGAAACTGTTGCTCTGTCAAATGCCAAAATAGTCTAAGGAGTCCATGGCAATGGACTGTTCACATCTGTCCACAGCTATAAAGAGAGCACTAGAATTGATAAAACAAAATATAAATCACCAGCCGAAACCTGAGACTGTGCCTAGGTGCAGGGCCCTGACATGACCTTCCTGAAGCCAGAACCAGCCTGGTGTCCAGGCAGACTGGAGGAGTTTTCCTGTTCATCTCTGTGCTACTAGAGAACAAAGCTCCTAGCTTACTTCTTCTAGAAACATGTCTCTTCTTTATTCCTAAGCACCAAGCCCTAACTCCCACAGGAGACACAGATCCTCTGTGACATGTCTAATTTCCATTCCAAACTCTTCTCTATTTCAGCCCATTATTGTGGCCCCCAATAATGGAAAGGAAACTTCAGCTGAAAAATGAAAAGGTATTACACCAAAAATACAGGTTACAAAAGCAAAAATAAATAAATGGAACTACATCAAACTGAAAAGCTTCTGCATAGCAAAGGAAATAATCAACAAAATGAAATGGTAGCCTACAGACTAAGAAATCAAATTTTCAAACAATATATCTGATAAGAATTTAATATCCAAAATTTATAAAGAACTCAAACAACACAATAATGCAAAAATAATCTGATTTTTAAAACGGGCAAAGGAAGATTGGGGCTGTGGCTCAGTGGTAGAGTGCTCACCTAGCAAGTGCAACATCCAGATTCTATCATCAGCACTGGAAAAAGAAAAAAAGGTAAAGAACCTGAATAGGCATTCCTCCAAAGAAGACATAAAAATACCCAACAAGCATATGAGAAGGTGCTCAACATTATTAATAATCAAGGAAATTCAAACAAAACTGCTATGAGACATCACCTTACACCCATTAAGATAGCTATTATCAAAAAATCAAGATATGACAAACATTGGCAAAAGTGCAGAGAAAAGGAAGCTCTTGTACAATGTTGGTAGGGCTGTGGATTGATATGAACATTATAGAAAACAGATGAAGGTTCCTGAAGAAATTAAAAAGCCATACAAGGCAGCAATCCGTCCTCCAGGCACATAGCCAAAAGAAATGAAATCTCCACCTCATAAAGATATATGATTTCCCATGTTTAGAGCAGATATCATTCACAGTAGCCAAGATATGGAAATAATCTAAGTGTCTATCAGCAGAAAAATGGGTAAAGAAGCTTTGGAATATTATTAAGCCTTAAAAAAGAAAGTGATCCTGGGGCTGGGGATTTAGCTCAGTGGTGCCACCACCTGCCTCAAAAACTCAAGGTCCTAAATTCGAGCCCTGGTACCAAAAAAAAAAAAAAGAAAGAAAGTGATCCTGCTATTTGTCACACACAGGTAGACCTGAAGACCATCATGCTAAATGAAAAGTAAAATAAACCAGATATAGAAAACAAAATATTGCATGATCTCACATATATGTGGACTCTAAAAAAGAAAAGCCAAAACAGATTGTGAAAATGAACAATTACTAAAAATGGGACTGGGAAGGGGGAGCATATGAGGAGATGTAGCATATACGTAGGGTGAACAAGCCCAGAGCATAACGTAGGATGAACCAGCCTGGAGATCATTAACATTAATTCAATACAAGGCTTATAGGTAATAAAACTGCATGATATTTGGGATTCCTGCTAAATAAGTAGATCTTAGCTGCTCTTTCCACTAAAACAAATAAGTGGGTAACTTTAGGTAAGATGATGGATATGTTAATTTGCTTCACAATTCTAACCATTTTACTACCTATATGTATTCCGTAACATAATGTTGTATACCTTAAATATATATAATAAAATTTATTTTCTTTAAAAATAGAAGGCATGGCCGGGGATTTAGCTCAGTGGTTCCAGCACCTGCCTTGCAAGTGCGAAGTCCAGAGCTCAATCCCTGGTTCCAAAAAAAAATTTTTTTTAAATAGAAGGCGCAGTGCCAGAGCTTCTGGTCACTGAGCACCTCTGCAAACAGTTTCACACTAATAAGCAATACCCACAGCTCATTCTACCTATTAACCTAAGCTCAAGAAGCCCAACCAAATACAGGTGCTAAGACAACCCAAAATGAAGGCTTCAAAGGCAAATGGATAAAACAGATAATTCTCACAGCTAAACTTTTGCTTCTGTCACTTGCAAACAGCCCACAGGCTAAATCTGGACCATTGCCTGTTTTTGTAAATAATTTTATTGGAACACAGCTTGCCCATTCAGTTATGTACTGTCTATAGTGATGCTGGAACTACAAAGTTGGATAATTATTTCTTATACTACCACCATATGACCCATAAAGCCTAAAGTATTTACAATCTGGTTCATTAAAGAAAATGTTTACTGACCTCTGCCCCTTTGGTTGTCTTGTCTTTGTATTACCCAGTTATTGAATTACTGTTGGTGGTAACACTTATTATTTTGCCTACTACTGACTATGTGGGCTTACTGCCGTGGCCCAAGCCTGAAGATGGCCTTTCTTCTCTTCCCTGCTCCCTTCTCCTCCCTACTCCCTTTCTCCTCCAAAGATTAGACTCATATTGTAGACCTAAGATGGCACAGCCTGGGGAAACAGTTACATTGTATCCTTCCCCATTCTCTTCCTGCGCATGCCCCAGTCACTATCATGAAACAATCATGCTGTGTTCCACCTAGGCCACTAGGCCATGTAGCACTGTTTGCCCCGCCTTCTCTTTCTGTTTGCCTTCCACTATAAATAAGGAGCGCACGTAGCTCCAGGCGGCCTTTAGCTCCCGACAAGCTGTGGTTCCACCTGGTCCCAGCTATCACGAGTAATCTTGGCCTCATCTTTGCTTCATCTCCCATTGCTCTCCCCGGCTTCAGACCCTACACTTTGTGGGTCACAGCAGCTTATGACAGAAAAGCTCACTTAATCCCATCAGAAAAAAATAGAAAACTGGTGGGCACTAGATCCTGATTATAAATGGGGAAAATCTAACAACTGCACATAAGCCAAAAGTCTGGTTATTTTTTTTAAAGTGACAAGACATGAGTTGTATATTTAAATTAAGCCCATCCTGTGGTTATTGAGCAAGTGCTTCAAGATCAAGGAGTAAATTCAAATAAAAAGGACTCTACTGTCTGAAATAGAAATGAATGTTATTCAAAATTGTTGCACATTGGGCTCAATTATGCAAAGTCTACAGATATGAAAAATGAAAGAAATCTCTAGGGATTTGCATAAGAGGACCTAGATTTGCCTCAATCAAATATAATATCAACTATTAAGTGCATCTTCACACAGAACCCTTTTAATAAGAAGTGCATTTAAAAATGAGAACAAAGATCTATCCCCAGTACCAAAAAAAAAAAAAAAATGAGAACAAAGACAAAGGTATTTGTTTTTCTATGTAACATGCAATGCCTAATCTAGCATACTTCCCAACTCTGCCCCATGCCTATGGGACATTTTAGAAGACACTGCTAAACCATCTCATTGAGTCTGCTATGAAGTAGACAAGGTCCCTGCAGAGCTCAGGGTGATAGGTAACTCAACTTTATGGCAAACTTACAAGTCTACAGCTCTCTCAGTCCCACACTCATTAGAAAGAACTTGATCCAGGTCCCTCTGGTTTGGGTGGGCAAGGTGTTAAAATCTTAGCTGGAGCTGAAAAAGATCACTCCTGGGGTGACTCCAACTTTTCCAGTTGTTGGATTGTATACCAAAAGAGTCGCGTGTCTAATATCATGAGGGTCAAGTGTTTGTCTGTACTGCAGTCCAGTTGGCTACACAGATGTTCCAGCCATCTTGACCAAGCCCCTTGGGGTGGTGGGCAAATAACTTTCAACCTCCCTATACTGACTCCCTATACTGACTCTCTATACTAACCTCCCTAGGATGGGGCAAGCAGAATCAGACAGACAGCACATACCTCTTCGCCCATACTTCTCACAATACACACACAGAGTAAACCCATTTCTTGCAATAAAATACAAATCACATTGGAGAGTGAAGGGTAGAGGTCTCTCACAGATGAAAAAGGTGGGTGCTATAAGATTCATCTCCCGATAGTATGCAGGGCCATTTCTCTGTGCATTTTCCTCACTATTTTACAATTAAACCACGTCTTCTTTATATGTCTGCATTCCCGGAATCTAGCATAGTAGGTAGCAAATAGATGCTCAATAAATATTTTTTCATGTTTATTCGTTGAATTAATAAACATTTATTGACTACCTACTATGTGACAAGTGTTTTACTAAGTATAATAAAAGAATAAGACATAACCTGTGTCCTCAACATGTCTCAAATCTAGAAGGAGAGCAAATAAACAAATAATTACAATGTGGAGTGGTTGTGTTATAGTCAAGACTTCTAGAGTTGGGCAGGTAACCCTGACTTGAGATGGATGGGTGTGGGAGTAGATAGGCCTGGGCAGAGAATGCCTCCTCCCTCTGGCAATGTAGATAAATGTTGTCACATTGAGACTGTGACCTTTACAGGGTACAATGAGGAGAAGAGTTTCTTTTTGACTATTAAATCCATGATATTCACCAGCAATCACCATTCACTGTGATGTGGGCTTGCTCTTCAAAATCAGAGCAATAGAACAGTAGGCGGTCCATGTGTGAAAACATAGCCAAGATTCTTGGGTCTTGCCTTGCTTTAGGCACATGGCAGTTAAAAATAACAACAAAAGAAAAAATCAATTAGTTGATAAGATAGAATCAGAGGATCATAGGATGTTAGAATCTCTAAAAGGGCATTTAAATGTGACTAGTGTCTGTTCCATGCCAGATGATGAGTGTGGCGGCCAGTTTTATTCTTCTGTTCAATTGATAAAGTGACTGATAGGTCATTTGGGCTTTGCCAGAAGGGAAAGTCTCACAGGAAGACTTGGCATACAGTAGTCATTTGATAAATGTGCTCTGAATGAATGTAGACAAGCACCTCAGGGTGTGTAGAGGAAAAGCAGGCCTCAAAATCCAGAAACTCAAATAACACAACCACACCAACCTTCTCATCAATCGTTAATCAACATCTAACTGTGTTGTGGGAGCAGTGGAGAAAGCACAAGAAATTACACCTGGCCTCTGATCTTAGACTCATACAAACAAGGCTAAGAGCAGGCAACTTATGGATGAGAGAAATCAAAATATATGAAGAGAAGGGTCAAGGATTTAACTCAGTGGCACCACACCTGCCTCACAAGTGCAAGGTCCTGAGTTCGATCCCTGGTACCAAAATGTAATAATTATATATATATATATATATGCACACACACATATATATGAATATATATATACATATGAAGAGAAGTTCAAACTAGTCAATTATCAGGAAAAATGCAAATGAAAATATTAAGGACAGCTCAGGTACAGCTCAGTGGTTAGAGTGTTTGCCTACCACGTGGGCCCTGGGTTTGATCCCCAACACCACAAAAAAAGAAAATATTAAAAGATATTAGTTCACATCAAATAACAACAAAAAATTTAAACCAGATAATAATATCAAGTGTTGGCCCAAATGTAAGATAACAAAACCCTTCATGCATGGCTGGTGGGAATGAAGACTAGTACAGCCTTACTATGAGTAATATGGCTCTTCCTAGTCAAACTAAGTATATGTGTGACCTACACATTATCAATTCCAGTTCTGGGTATGCATGTATCCCACAAACTCATAATGGGCCATGGATGATAACACTCATTGCAACACATTTGTGATGACTACATGGAGTTGGAAGTAATCAGGGTGGCCATCCCTGGGGGATTGGACAGATAAAATCTGAAACAAAGGGGTGTAAGCCATGCTGACCTACACACACTTGGAAACAGCAGACTAGATATCCACATAAGAATATGGGCCAATCTTGAAAACATACTGATGGTTGAGAAGACTGAGAAAGTAAATGAGAGATCCAAAACAATGCCATTTGGGAAAACAAAAAAGTTTGCTCTTAAAATAAGAGTATAATTTTGTAAGAAGTCTTCACAAACACAATGATATTTTCTACATATATGAGAATAGCTGTCCCTGGAAGTAAGATGAGCAAAGGGATAAATTCAGATTTTGGTACCTGGAGTGCTGCAGGAAATACTTAAGTACGTGGAAGTGCCTTTGGAACGAGCAACAAGCAAAAGACTGGTACAGCCTGAAAAGAATTTGAGGAATAGGCTGGAGAAAGGCTAATTGTCTTGAACATGCTATTAGGAGAAATCCTGACTTTGGGGACTTTGCTGGCTAAGAATCCAGAAAAGAGAAGGGAACATGGTATTGGAAATTGAAGAAAGGGGACCTTATGGTGTACTAGCAAAAAGTACAGCAACACCCATCTAGTTATGGTGAAAGGAGAAAAAATGTCTACTGAGCCGGGAGATCTAGGCAAGGAGTGTTTCAAAAGTGTTGATAGTGCTGCCTTGTCTCTTTCTGCTACTTACAGTAAAATGCATGAGAAAAAAAATAAACTGTGTAAAAGGGAAAAGGGAGTAAGAGAGGGAGGGAGGAAGGGAGGAAGGGCGGCAAGCAGACCAGGTTTTAAAAATGTTCAACCTCTCTGAACAGCAAACAACACTAATTAAGAAATGGCTTCCAAGCAAATATAAGATCCTAGGCACTGCCAGGAAAACACAGCCTGAAGATGAAGCTGAAGACATGAAGATAAAACTTTCTGTTAAGACCTCAGAAAGCTCAAAGATGATGCCTTAGAATCTATATAGTCACATAAATGTCCATTTAAAGAGATTGAGGATGTGCCTCATAAATCCTCTTATCAAATAAATAGTGCCCACAGGGAGTTAGAGATGTTGGACATCAGCAGTTTCAGCAATCACCCAGGCAAAAATGGGCTTCTCTCAAAGACATTTTGGGGGATGGCTTTTGCCTTATGGAGTGAACCCCAAAGAGACTTACAGCAAACCTCTAAGTTTCTTAAAAGGAATATTTTCTTAAACATTGCCAACTTGGACCAAGAGGTTCAGAGATGGTACAAAATGAAGAGATGCCATTTGGGACACAAGAATTCGACTGGCAGGAAGCAGTCTGAGAGACATGCACCTGCAAACATGTGCTGCCTTCCATGAAAAAGAAAAGAACGGGATTGAGCCTGCAGATGGATCCCTTTCTAAATAAGCCTTGAAATGACTATAGCTCTGGTGACAACTTCATCAGAGCCTTGTAAAAGACTCAGAGCCAGAGATCGCAACTAAGTTGCACTTAGATTCCAGATGCTGAGATAATGTTTGTTCTTCTAGATTGATGAATTTTGGGGTATTTTGCAGATAACTGATACAGATTTTAATCCCATAATATAGATTTGCTTTCCTAGGAGATAAAAAATTAATGTAGATGTTTTTAAATATTGAGAAGTATACTAATTGAGTAATTTACATTGTAAACAGCCCACCACAGGTTCATTCAGATAGGGCCTCATTCAAACAATTTTTATCAGATTCTATGCAAGGACATGGTTATGATCTGAATGTTTGAGCCTCTTGCCCTCAAGTAATGACGAAATCCTCAACCTGAAGGTCATGATATTTGGAGGTAAGGCCTTTAGGTGGTGATCAGGTCAAGGGGGTAGATGGAATCTTCACAGATGAGATTAGTGCCCTCATAAAAGACTCCCCGGAGAGCTCCCTCAACCCTTCTTTCTACCATGTGAGGCTACAGTGAGAAGATAGCTGACAAGGAGGATGCAGAAGCAGGTCCTCACCAGATGCCAAGTCTGCTGACACCATTATCGTGGACTTCCCAGCCTCTAAAATAGTGAAAAGAATTTTTCTTTTGTTTGTAAGCCTCCCGGTCTACTGTATTTTATACAGCAGCCTAAATGGACCAAAACAGGTATCAGGAGGTATAGAGATTTTTTTTTTAAAGCAGAGACAGAGAGTAATCTTAATATGGTTTCCAGGGCATATTAAAGCAGAATAGAACCAGGTGATCCAGACCATCACGAAGGGAAGCACAGGGTAAAATGGGAACATAAGTGCTAGGGTTTCTGAGACTTGCTGGGGTCCCTGAGAGAGTGGTATGACTCAATACCCCATGTCAGAAAAACAAGATGTCTAATTGGCTTAAGCTCCACAATTAAAAGACCGGTATTGCACTCCTGCCCAGAGAGATTTAGGGGAGTCTGGGCTCTGCTTCCTCAGGGCTGGCTTCACTCTTAGGCAGGCTGTCATCAGGAGCTGAGCTGCCAGGTGTACAGTAGTCGATCAAGACAACATGCCAAAAGGAAAGAACGATCAAGACTGTACTCATTACTGTGATGGTCTGCACAGGAGATGAAACAGGGGACAGTGCTGGCTCCCCTAGGGTTCCACTGTACCTCACAGAACAGCAACTGAGGAGGGTCAGATATATCAGAGCAGATGAGACGATTGTCTCACCAAATAGGAGGCTGCTGCCTTCATACAGATCTGAGGTGGGGACAGTCTAAGAATGGAAAATAGTGACTACTGAGTCAGTGTGGGGAAAGTGCCTTTAGTGTCCCTCTTCTCCTGAGCAGGTATCAGCAGAAGCCTCTAGGGAAGTCTTTAGCCAAGGGCCCCCCAACAGAAAGGCTTCCAAACGGAGACACCTGGGCCAGCAGTGCAAACGTGGGTATGAACATGGCTGGTCAGTGGTTCTGAATCCTTGACTGCAACCCCTCCAGAAACCCACAGCAATGACTGAGTCCCAGGTCTGGTGGGAGATGGCAGTGCTCTCCATGTGGCCTGCAAGGGAAAGCCACTATAACCACCCACAGTCTCGCCCAAGAGATCACATACAGGCCAGGAGCTGATTCCCCATTTTTATGGGGTAAGATGGCTATCAACATCCTATTCCTCCTCAGCAGTGGGAAGAGGGTGCTCTACCTCAGTTTGGCAGAAATTCTGGGACTGACTCCAACTAGACTGGCTTGGGTCTTCACCAGTCCCTGAAGCAATCGCTGTGGCCAAGAGGATGGAATTAACCAATTACCCTGGATCTCCACACCTAATCTGAGGCTGGGGACAGGACCTTCCCAAACTAAATAGAGAATGAGGGAAGAGCACTTTTGACCAGAAACACAAGCGGATCTTGAGTAGGGAAAACTCACAGATGTCCATGCTCTAGTGGTGAAGTGAAAGTGTTCATGTATTCCTTCATCCATTCAATAAATATTTACTGCACATTATGTGCCAGGCACTGTTCTAGGCCCTGGAGAGACAGCAGAATAAAAATACTGTCAGAAAAAATCTCCTGGATTACACAATAAACACAACACAATCAGTAGGTAAAATGTATAACCTGTTATAGGGATAAGGGGAAGGGGTGTGTGTGTGTGTGTGTGTGTAATATATAGCCCTATAAAGACTTTATCAGGAGAAATTAAAGCAAGAAAGGAAGATAGAAATATGGGTATAAGAGGAGTAGTGTCTAGAAAGGCCCTACTGAAGGCAACCGAAGAATGAGTGCTAGAGTTTAAATCCCCTCAAAGTCTCATGTCTTCAGAGATAGGATTTTTGGAAGGTGATTGGATCATGGAGGTGCTATATACTTATCAGTAGATTAATCCATTGATGAGTTCATAGCTGAATGTGTTGTTAGCATGTCAGATCTGGTTGGAGGTGGGTCACTAGGGGCATGACCCAGAAGGGTGTATTCTTATCCCTGGCTTCTTTCTTCTCTCTCTGCTTCCTGGAAGCCAGAGGGTGAGCAGCCTTCCTCTGCCATGCCCTTCCACTGACTATTACTGCCTCAGAGCCAGCCGACCATGGACTGAACTTACTGAAACTATAAGCCAAAGTAAACCTCTCCTCCCTTAAATTGTTGGTGTTCAGTATTTTGTCCTAGTGATGGAAAAGCTAACTAATGCAATGAGTATCTTAGACTTCTAGGTAAAGAGCATTCTAAGCAGAGGAAACAGCAAGTACAAAGGCCTGGAGATAGAATGTGGTTGGTCTGTTCAAGGAACAAAGAGTAAACATTGCCAGATATAGTACTGGATGCCCAGTTAAATATGAATTTCAGGTAAACAACAAATATTTTATAGTATAAATATGTCCTAAATACTGAATTAGATATACTTAAAATATTCATGCAATATTTGAGACATATTTATACTAAGAAATTAAACAATGGTTTACCTGAAGTTCAAATTTAGCAGAGTATCCTATACTTGTATTTGCTAAATCTAGCAATTCTACATGAGTGTGACTGAAGCAAAATAAAGGAAGAGGGTGTTGTGGATTGAACTGTGACCCTCAAGATAAAATATTTTGAAATCCTAACCTCCTATACCCGTGGTGGCAAACCTATGGTTCACTCACAGCCCGCAGAAGGCTATTTGTTATCATTGCAAGCTCAAAATGTTCACTGTCACTCACTTCCTTATACCCTAAAATATGACTTTATTTGAAAGTAAGCTCATCACAGATGTAATTAGCTAAGTTAAATAGGGTGGCACCAAATCCAATATGACTTGTGTCCTTATAAGAAAATGACCATCTAAAAACACATAGGGATAAGGCCATGCAACAAAAGAGGAACAGATTGGAGTGGCATCAGCAAGTCAAAGGATATCAAACATACTGCCAAACACATAGAGGCTAGAATAAGACAAGGGAAGACCTTTCCCTTTTAGTTTTCAGAAGAATCATGGCCCTGCTGACCCCTTGATTTCAGATTTCTAGAACTGTGAGGCTACACATTTTTGTCGCTTAAGCGATGCGCCTTTCCCAGGAAACAAAGACAGAAGCTGTTAGAGAAAAGCAGTATATGAGGTCAGAGAGGCAAGGAGTATGGTGGACGAACTTCTAGGATCTGGTCAGTCACATGAGGACTTAGCTTGCATCCAAAGTGAGATGAAGAGTTGCCTGAGAGTTCTGGAGGAGCTATCCATTTAAAGAAATGTCAGAAGAGCCCAGGGGACATCAAAGAAAGATGTGGTAGGTGACATTCCAGGAATTGTATACAGCTTAACCCTGCTGGAGTGTGAGTGAGGTAATCAGAGTGGAGGCTGGAAAGGTGAGCCACAGTCTGATCTTGAAAAGTCTTTTGGTAACTTAAAATGTAAGGATGTGCTTCCCCCTGTAGGCCACAGAAAGCCAATGGAAGACTTTGAAGAGAGGGTAGGGATCAAATTTATCTACTCGCATGGGTCTTTGTTATTCATCATACTAGAGGTGAGCACCAAGGAGTTTAAGAATGACCGGACAAGGACAGAATAGCAAGTACCATGTTTGGGAGACAGGGAGATGACGTGTTCATTAGACAGGGGATCCCAGTCCAAGTCCCTCAACTCCTACTATCAAGAAAGCTGCAGTCCCATACACCCCAAGGGAAACTTGGAAGATACCTGGAGTTTCTCTAGTACATTACAGAAACACACCACTACCACCCTCCAAACGATGCACACACCAGGCTGTTGACAGATTGAGGGAGATGGATTCCCATCCTGAGTGGGATCACAGGATCTGGAGGAGCAAATATCTGCTATAAAGAAAACCACAACAGATTTGAGCCTGTACGTTTTACATTGAGAATCTAGGAACCCATGTTTATGCCTTTCAAACTTCAGTGCTGAGGAAAAACAAACCAGGAAACTTTTGAGAATGAAGATTCCTGGGTCCTATCCCCAGTATCTTACTTAAGTAAAAGTAGTCCTGGAACTACATTCTGAGAACCTATCCCAGAAGAGGGACTTGAGGATGCTTGTGCAAGAGTGATAAAGACCACAAAGGAAAAAACATCAAATAGGGAAGGAAAAGGGGAACTTGTACTGTAGAGGGATTATGTGCTGAAATCATGTGCAATATTTTGTATATGCATTCCTGGAGAAATGGATACACAACTTCCAGTAGATTTTTAAAGAGATTCTGAAAAAAATTAGGCCTCATAGTATAGTAGGAAACAGATGAAATTCAGAACACATTTGTATTTTGAATGTCCTAATACTCTGACTTTAAACAGTGGTTCTCAGTCTTGGCTCCACATTAGGATTATCTGAAGAGCTTTAATATAGATCTTTGGGTCGCATCCCCTGAAAGTCTGATTGAATTGGTCTAGGAATGTGGTCTGGGAACTGAGATGTTAAAATCTCTCCAGGAAATTCCAATGGCAGGAAAACCTGAGACGGACGGATCTAGGTAGGGTTTCAGATGAGCCTCATCTTGTGGTAGTTACTGCTGTGAACCTAACAAGAAACTGAGACTTCAGAGAATGAGTGACTGACCCAGACTGTCACAGCTGGGTAATAATTCAAGACTGGAGACCAGGCTATGCACTCTCAGTTCAGTGCTTTGACAACCATTCCATCAGGCGACAGAGGCCAGGGGGGCTTAATGAGTGAAAGTCTGAGCATGGGTTCCTGTACTAGACAGGTCAATCCAGGCTGAGCCCTCATGGGAAGAGGAAACAGAGTGAGGGGGGTGCGGCCCCAGGCACCCGGGGGCGGGGGGGGGGGGGCAAGGTGGCTCAGGCAAACAAAGTCAAGAGCTAACCAAGTCAGTGGCCACTTAACCGGCCAATGCAAAAGGTAGGGCCTCCGAACCCATCTCACAGCAACCCAGTCAATGCCAGCCCCCAGCTGGCCTAGGGCTGAATAAAATAACAACAATAAACTCTGAAATTAATGAGGTTGACAGCTTTGTGACCTCAGGGAGTCCTGTTCTTTCCTTGTTCCTTAATACTGGGCCAGGGTTGTGGAAATGTGAGATTAGAGTGGGGAGCAAGGTCCATCCGAAAACAGTCACTATCCAGAAAGTAATGCTTCCCTCCCGTGGCTCAGTGAGATGCCTTCAACTGGAACAAAGCGTTCCGTTGTCCAAGTGGTAATTAAGAACAACTTCAAAAGCAAGTGGCCCTCAGAGAGAGACCTTGGGCAGAAAGCTCAAGGCCTGGGTTTTCAAACATTTTTAAAACAAAACCCCTTGACAAGTCCATCTTTATATATATTTAGATAGTATTATATATTACACATGTAATAGGATATTATATAGTGTGTTACCAGTGATATACATAATATTTATAACACAATGTGTGTGTGTATATATATACATATACATATACATATAAAACACACCGTTACCTGACGGGTGGGAGGCAGTGACACAGTAGAATATCCCCCCTCATTCCCTTCCTTTCCCAAGCTCGATTGTCCCTGAACCGCTCAACCAAATCCTAGGATATGAGAAAGAACAGCAGGCAGAATTCCTCAATTCACTAACGATGGGTGAAGGACATACCGCACTTGGCATTGTGTTCCACGCATGGAGGAATTAAAGCCTCTGTCTTCACGGATCTCACTACTTCTAAAGGGTCATGGACAGGAAGGTGATAATTAAGCAAAATGTAATAAAGGAGGAATAGGGGACATTGCAGAACATTGCTGGAAGAAGTATGGGTCCTGAGTAGGCAGGTGGAGTAGGACGTAGCAGGGCAGGCTCCCCCAAAGAGAAGACCTCAAAGCTAAGGTCAGTGTCTTCAAAAGCAGGTTTCCATGAGATCAACGGGGGCAGAGAGCAGGACTTTGGAAATGGGAACGTGAATGGAGCAGAGCCCAATGGGGAAAAATGACAGGGTATCTGAGGTGCCAGAGACCAGAGATATCAATAACAAACCTTAATATATCACAGGATCTCAGGCAGTCCCAGTGTGAAGATCCTGGCTCTCCTAACAGGACATAAAGAAGAGATCAAAAGCCTGGTGCAGACCCACAGCCCAAAAGGGCAGGTGTGGGGCCACTGAATTGGGCAAAGGGAATTACCTTTGAAGTAAAAACATCAAAACAGCTTTTGAGAAATCAGATCTCCTTGGCTGGATTTCAGTCATGAGAGCTGGTTTTGCCAAAGCCATGCAGTAAAAAGAGAGTAAAACCTGAATAAAGCTCTGAGGGACTGTTCGGAGCTGCTCCATCACTGGGCTGTCCTCTAAGAACCCTCCCACCACCAATGTACCAGCAAGGAGAAGCACATAGGAAAGAAACGAAGGCCACAGAGATACCCTGGGGCAGGGACATTGCAAGGCCACCACCCAGAAAAACTTGATCTAAGACTTCCCGCTGCATGCACAGGCTCCCACTGCAGGAATGATTGTGTTGTTCCCCTGCTGTACTGGGGACAATGCAGAAAAGCTGGCGTGTGAGGCCACTCATCCTTCACAGGGTTTCCTTTAAAGCAAAAAGAAAGCAAAAAGCACAGGCGAGTCTAGAGTTTTTT